TAGGGTTTAGGGTTTCGGGTTCCTTATTATCACTAAAGCATCATGTGCTATTGTGGGGGGTCCTTTTTATTACTATAGTATAAATAACATATACTATTTTGGGGGTCCTTATATTTATCACTATGGTACAATATATACTATCTTGGAGGGCCCCTTATTATTACTATAGTAGAGTATACCCCAAAACCCTATTCCCTAAACCCTAAACCCTAAATCCTAAACCCTAAACCCTAAACCCTAAACCCTAAACCCTAAACCCTATTCTAGTTTTTACTGCGGCGCTCGGGCTGTGGGTGTCGGCGTTGAAACCTGAAAGCTCGAAACCTTTACATTCTTGGGTTTAGGGTTTAGGGTTTTTTTTTGGGTTTAGGGTTTCGGGTTTAGGTTATTTTTTGGGGTTTAGGGTTTAGAGTTTAGGTTTTGTTGGGTTCAGGGTTTAAGTTTTTTGGGGTTTAGGGTTTAGGGTTTTCAGTTTTCTTGGGGTCTAGGGTTTAGGGTTGTAATGTAGCGGCCTTACTAATTAGAGTAGGGTTCCTTTAAAGGGATGCTTAAAAGGGTTCCTTGAAAAGGATACTTTCTTGGCTTGGTATTACACCCTTAAGTCCGCACCCCGTAAGGCTAGAACCCTCGAGCCGCCTGCACCCGGGACTAGGATTTCATTATTTTAGGGTTTAAGGTTTAGTGTTTGGGGTTTAGTTTTTAGGGTTTCAGGGTTTGGGGTTTAGTTTTTAGGGTTTAGGGTTTAGGGTTTAGGGTTTAGGTTTAGCGTTTGGGGTGTTTGGTTTGGGTTTGAGGTTTAGGCTTTGGGGTTTAGGGTTTAGGGTTGGGGTTTAGTGCAGTTTTACCAGAAGCTCTACTTCAAGATTCGCAGCGTCTGTTTGCTCCTCTGAGATTGAGACCGTACCTACATATTGCTGATGGACAAAATCCTGCTTTACCAATCCTCAGAAAAAACAGTGCACAATAACTCCAATAGGAATAGCTCCTTGTGTTTAGGCTGTTTAAAGTAATGCAGGACTTGGCCTAAACCCTAAGCCCTAAACCCTAAACCCTTCTGTTTAGGGTGTTTAAAGTAAATGCAGGACTTGGACCATCAACCATATTGGTTCACCCGAGGCCTCGTGGCTTGTGGAACAAGTCGGCAGTGTGCCGAAGAGCCAGAAATCCAAAGCTGTTGAAGGAGATACAAACGGGAACCTGAGGGCTTTATTATGGTAGGCTTTAGGGTTTAGGCTTTAGGGTTTAGGGTTTAGGGTTTAGGGTTTAGGGTCTAGGGTTTAGGGTTCAGGGTTTAGGGTTTAGGGTTTAGGGTAACCCTAAAGCCTAAACCCTATACCCTGAACTCTAATCTGGGCTTGTTGTTCAGGGTTTGTGCGTTCGAGTCTCCAGGTTGAGCATCTGTGCCTGAATCATCATCGTCATCATCATCATCGTCGTCATCATCATCATCATCGCTCGAAAGCCATTTCGGACGTCAGTGGTTCCTGAATCTCTGTGAATCCTGTCTCCCTGGCGCCGCTGTGTGCGTGAAGGGGGGCCGGGTAGGATTCATGGTGCAGGGTTTAGGGGATTGTAACCCAGATCTGCCCTTGGCCAAGTCCGCTTGGGTCGTAGGATTTCATGGCATTCGTGTTTATGGTGCTTTGCTTGAGACCCCTTCACAGTTCTAGACCAAACCCAAAGCCCTAAACCCGAAACTGTGCACCGGAAAGTCTGCGCCTTGCTGCCTGGCTTACAGCACAGTCCCAGAGAAGCTTTTTGACACTCGAGCCCATCAAGTCCAGCCCAACCCTAAAGCCTCTAACATAGAAGCTTTGAAGAACTTACCATATTCTTCTTTGGGGTTCCGTATTGATAGTTCTAGTACAATATCAAGGTCCATTAACTTACCATATTCTGCTTGTGGGTTCCTTAAAATAGTTATAGTACAATATCAAGGCCCATTAACTTACCATATTCTGTTTCGGGGCTCCTTCTTATAGTCAAACTACAGTCTAAACCCTAAACCCTAAACCCTAAACCCTAAACCCTAAACCCTAAACCCTAAACCCTAAAACTACAGTCTAAACGCCCCCCCCATGTTACAATTTTCCCCCCAGCACCAGAGCGCCAGCTTCCTCTGTACAGGGCTGCCGAGGATTCACCGGGGCGTTTCGGATTCGGGAGTCGTCGTTTTCGGGTTTAGGGTTTAGGGTTTAGGGTTTAGGGTACCCTAGGGTTTAGGGTTTAGGGTTTAGGGTTTAGGGTACCCTAGGGTTTAGGGTTTAGGGTACCCTAGGGTTTAGGGTTTAGGGTTTCGGGTTTAGGGTACCCTAGGGTTTAGGGTTTAGGGTTTCGGGTTTAGGGTACCCTAGGGTTTAGGGTCAGCGGTCGCGTGATGTTCCAGCCGGGCCTGGAAGCCGATGCTTGGACGACTAAGCCTTCAACCCTACCCTAAGAACCCATTTTTTGTAGGTTTGGGGTTTAGGGTTTAGGGTTTAGGGTTTAGGGTTTAGGGTTTAGGGTTTAGGGTTTGGGCTTTTTAGAGTCTACCCTAAGAACCCAAAACCCACTTTTTTTTGTAGGTTCTGGCTATGAACCCTAATATGGGATTTATAGGGACCCTACCTGTAGCCAGAAAGACCTACCTTTTTAGGGTTCCTTCTTATGGTTTCTATATATAGTTCCTTAAGGTAGGTTTTTTCCCTAAGTATGGCTGCAAATACATTAGTTGGGGTTTAGAAGTAGTTAATTATAGGTACAGCTATCCCAGTAGTAACCCCACTTTTTTAAAGTTCCTTGCGCCTTCAAGTACCCCAGCCGTAAACCCTAAACCCTAA